TTCCCTTTGTAGTCTGGATTCTGTCAAAGCGAGACTGCACGCCACTTGACGGAAAAGACTATGCTGTCTTATTGTTCTTGTGTCATTCATATAGGTAAGACCAGGGAAGATACTGAAGGTAATTTTTTATAGTTTTCCTATTGTGAAACAGAATCATAGATACCAAAGATACTAGGTGCCTTTCTCCTATTGATTTCAAATTTCTATGTGAAGCGCATAGGTAAGCCAGATACAAGGATGCCTGCAGAATATGGGTTTAAAAGTGGTATGTGGTTAATTTCAGTAATTAGTACGTGTTGTCCTATATCATGCAGATAATTCAAATAAAATCATATGTTTGAAAACAGCAAGGGCTATGTCCTTTCAGGGAGATGACTCATCCTTATCTACTAATACAAGAAATGGCTGAACCGATAGCTAAGAGAAGATGGGATAATATGCTAGGACATCCTTATAACACATATATTGGATTATAACCCCATTCTTACAATCTCCTGTATGTATCTGCAGCTGGTTACTGATGGAGAGTGATCAAGCCCAGTCTCTAATTTTGGGGAGCCTTTGCTTTGAGACAGCATCAAAATCCTCATAATTTTTGTAACATTGGAGATACCAGTTCATACAAGATGTGTTCCTACAGCTGCGTCACAATGGTCAGAAATGTCTCTCAAATCCTAATAAAGAGCAGGTATTAACAATCTCAAAAAGAGTATTTTGAAGGCTCTGATCGGAGTCTGTTAATAAAGACATGTATTATAGAAATACTACTAAGGGCAATCAACTTATCACTGCTGCTGCTATCTCAAAATCAGGATGGACAGTATGAACTATAATGCAGTTCTCAACATCAGAACAGTGTTTGGTAGCTTTTGACCTCATCAGTCCTTATTCAAAGTAAAACATTTTTACAATTGTATCTTGAGATTAATACAAAAAGTGTATGTGATACAAGCCACAAAAATAAGCTTTCATAATTTATTTCTGTCTGTGTTTCAAGAACTGACGGAAAATGCCTGACCTTTAAGTGGAGGTAGGTACATGGTGTAGGTTAAGCATGATCTCCATTGCTGCGAAATGTAACAGAAGTGTCAATATCTCATGACCCTGCTGATTACCTTTTATGATTCTTATAGGTAATGACTAACCAGTTAAGAAACACTTCATTGTATCATTGTGATCATTTTGTTCCGCTTATGTATGTTTCCGCTGTACTGCATAAGCTCCTCAGGTGACAAAACAAGTTGCTTCTCTCCCTGGCCCTTGCACCAGACAGAGTACGAGGGCTCTGCACGTGACCTGACCCTCAGTTCCACACCTTTGCAGGCAGACTTTCTTCTTCTATATTTGAAAAAGTTTCTTGCACATTTTGGTAGTTGACATAACATTAACTTCTTCAGCCTGCTTAAAAAAAATGTAACTTCAATTTACTTTTTGTGAAAACAAACAGATTAAGAGCTAAGAGATATGCCCCATGCCAATCCTAACATGTAAATCAACTTTGGCTGCAACCTGTGCAACTGGGAGTGCACAATCCAGTTCAGAACAGTATTTACAGCACAGCTGGAAGCTAATCCTTGCCTAAGTAGCTACCCTGGAGTATCCTGTATTGTACTAGCAACATCGCTCTTGGATCAAAAACTCATAGACATGGCTTAGTCCATAAATGACTGCCTTATGAAACGAGAGGCTTTTATCCTCTGATTCTTTGTATGACTGAACTGCTGGTTTGACATCTGAAAAACAAAAGCTTGTATTTACATACTGAGGTTCCTTCGGTGACATGCAAGCAGACACGGCCCTACCCCAGAGCCTGAGTCAAGTGCCAGCATATTAGGCAGGTTTTGTGAATATACTAACTCTGTCTGTATATATGTCCTTGCTGTACTAGGGAATATCTGTACATAGCAGTTTCTTAACAGACACTTTAATTCTAATTTAGGTACAGACCCCAAAAGCAGCCCACAGAAATAATAACGCTGTATCATGGTAGCCGAAACAGTCCTTCCAATAAAAAAAAAGAAAAAAAGGCAAAATATTGTACTTTGAAGACAAAGTAACTATGACAACAGAGCATATGATACTTGTTTCTCCATCACTGTGGAATACTGCATAGTTTTCAGTTTCAGCAGTCAAAAGACCATGGTTTGCCACTTGTTCAAACATGCTGGCATCTCTGTTACACATTGTATCATTATCAAAAGCCTATTTTGCCCACTTACAAATACTGTAACCAAACATTTCTATATATTTGCTTTTGGCTCCCTTACAGGTTTTCATCTAGAAATTGACTGTTTTGGAGGAACTCATGAGTTAAAGACTTTTGGGCATCTTGCCATTTTATTACACAAGACACTAAGCAGTGAGGGAAGGGAACTTGTGGGAGAATAATTACTTTTAGAAGGAATGGTTGAATTACTTTTCTTGGTGAGAAATACGTGCAGGGAGAAGGAAACACACTTAGTGCTTTTGCATTCATTTGTACCAACTTTGTATAAGGAAAGCAGGAGGTTTGACCACAGATCTCCTGAAGGCCCTTCCAACCTGAATTGTTTAATGGCTGTGCAAGGTCTGAACTGTTACTGATCTAAGCAAATGAATCTGTAGATGTTTTCCAAGCTTGATAGATGGTCTGAGTAGGACCTTTCTTTAAGAAGAATGTTCATCACAAACATGCAGTACTCTGTGGTCACATAAAGGCCCACATGAACGGCAAAACGGGCTTTTGAAAGCAAACTTGTAAGTGAAAAAAATGGGTCTCTGACGACGACGACTTTCTCACCACTTCATGTAACATAAAGGGCTAGTGACTGGCTGGGCCTCATCCTGACAACTGGGCTGCATCCATCCCAGATGAATCAAAACCTGCATCTGAACAGTACCTCTCTCCTCCAATGGTAATAAAAAATATAAATACATTGTGTAAACACACACACAGCCACACTGTATACATCTGGAACACTCGTGAAATCATATCCTTGATAAAGTCAGTAAAATCTCTCTCATGCTGCACTTTTGAAAATCAGACCAACACTCTTTTGAAGGCTAAAAATAAGAATTTAAAAATCAGGTCAGGCATCAGGTTTGGAATTGAAGATTCTGGTGTGACATTGAGAGTGACAAAACACAGAGTTACAGTAGGTGGAGCTATAATGTGAGATCTCTTAAAACATCAGCTGATAAGAATAAGCAAAAACTTGGGTCGATAGTATTTCATTAATGTTTATACTAGGTTTTTGCTGTAATTCTAAAATACAGTATCCACTATAAGAGACAGGATACTGGATAACATAGAAAACTAGCTTAATCTGTACTCTGATTTTAGAAATCTGTGTAAAAGTAAAGTAAAATAATTAGAGCACCTTTTAAAATGCCAGTTCCTACTTATGTCTTAATATGACAAGTGTAATTGGGTAGAACAGAGCGGAAAAAAACCAATTATATATTAAAACATAAAAGGTAACTACTTTAAAATACAAAGTTTGAAGAATTTTTATGGTAATAACCAAATGCTGCACCCTGGAAGATCATGTTTCTTTCATAGCTAACACACAGAGGGCCATTTCTGGTTTGGAAATCAGAAGGCACTGGACATGAGAAACGGTTTAAGAAGGAATTTTGTCTTTTTGGCACGTGAAACCTATGTAATTTTGAGAGAGGGAGTGTCTTCAAGTCAAATTAACTTCTTTAAAAAGTGGATGTAATAACCTGCACAGAAGACTAATGGATTGGAATTAGCTGCAAGTACAATGAATTAGTAGCCAAATAAAGCTAGATTTTGCAATAATTATGATAAATTTCCTCCTGTAAGCAACAGATAAATACCATTTATCAGGTGTCTACTATAGAAAGATATACGTGTATTATTTAGACACATAAGTTTACAAGTACAGTCCATTTTCATATGCGGAGCTAGATTATGTTGGCATCTGTATGTATACATTCACTGACTTTGGTGAAGTAATGGCTCAACCTGAGTGAAAAAAGAAGCTATCTTTCCTATGTTAATGAACCAGGACATCCTAGGAATTTTTGCTTAAACAACCTTTGGTAGCCTAATACATTGGCTCCATCCGTGAGAAACAAACTCCAGTAGTTTGGGCTGAATTAAAGTTAAACCAACATCACCCATTCCTTGGATACGAATGAATATGGACCTGCACAGAACTCAAAAAGCACAAGCTTTTCTGACCACAGATTACAGGAGTGCACTGTTTGTTTTATAGCCATGAACCTGCTCAATTGAATCACGTTCACCTGAGCTTAGCAGCTTAAAATTCATTCCACACAGCCTGCAGTGCTGACATGGATATGATAAGACAGAAGAACAGAAACACCACTCTGAAGTAACCTAGCTGAACTGCACATGTTCTGACCCTTTTTGAACTCCCCGGAGCTTTTGTTACCTGGCAAATGCAGCTCTAAAACTGCTCTTGTATCTCCAGATCTTTGCTCTTAGCCATGCAGAAGCCTATTTCTCTCTGGGACTGGCAGCAAGAGAGGTGCTCTCTGAAGAACGCTTCTAAATGAGTGTGCACACTGAACTCTTACTGAACTGAATTAATTATTAAAGTTGCAGATGGAGCTGTCCAAATGATAAAAACAGCTCCTGACGTATCATGATCCAAGCTTTCATTAAACCATTTCAGGCATACTAATGGTTTCCCACCGCTCATTACTTACATGCTATTCTCTCATAGATATAATAACCCTGGTGCCCAAAGGCATGACAGGCTATGGAAACAGCGAAGTTGAAAGTTCCTCAGAAGACGCACTGAGGAACTTCATACTTCCCCCTCATACTTCCCATCCTCATTTTGTGCCAACCTGTATACAGATACAAGTGCAAATGCTTACAAACTCACAGAAAAATTTGTAAATTAAACTAGTAAGCAATATTGTCAAAAAAGTTTATGTGCATTGACAGTGCTATTAAACTGAGAATCATAAAAGTGATTTGATTAACACATTAAAAAGCTTATCAAGGTGAAATTCTACATGCTACTGACACTAAGTAAACTACACTACAAATATGGGTCTTCAGTTACACTGCACATGACATAGTATTTTTCAGCCATTACACTTCTCGCACTTCTTCTTCCAGTCTCGCTTGCTTTCTCAGTTGGGACGATTAGAGGGCAAAGCAATTGCTAGAGAAGAATTACTCCCAGGAACTGTGCTGTGATTGCTACCTGCTGTTTCATATTTTTGAAGTTGGGAATATGGCTCCCAAAGGCCTTTTGCGTCTCAGTCTAAATGATTTGCTGGAGGATAATAATGTCATGGCCAGTAAATAATAGTGAACTATGTCTGTACATGGTCAATATGATTAAATGTCCTTCACCTCTATTCTCACTCTGACCTGGTTATGAGGAAGTGAAAAAGCCGTGAGCAATGCCGAAAGCTTCCCATGTGAAACGTTATTTTAAAGCAAGGGAGAGAAATAGAGGTGACTTAGCAAAATACTTCCAGCAACAATAAAATAAAACACTAGACACAAAAAGCAAAATTATCACCATATAATCAGACCTGAGGTAACTGAACTATTATGGCATGAAACTTAGAACAATCTTCTAGTAATGATTACAAAAACTGCAAGAAACTGCTTTGTGTTGAAAAATATTGTCTATCATATTGAAAATACTAAGTATATCTTTCAGTTGTAATTATAGGTTTAATTAAAAAAAGAATCCCTATCACCCTGAGACTTGATTTTATTTAAATGTATTTAGAATAAACTCTGTACATGTATTATGGTCTATACTTAAATCTTACAAACACAGTAATTTTTCTAATCCAACTCACACACATATGAGTTTTGGCACCTATGCCTATTCCTTTGAAAATATGCCAATGAACTCAAACAACTTCTACACTGCACAACTACCTTTTCTTAAGTGACTGCTCAAGGATTGAAGTAGTTTAATCAGAAACAGAGAGGAAATCCAACCTAAATATACATAAGCTTATTTCAATATTGAAAGATACCACAAAGGAATAAAGTACCTTCAAAAGATTGGCCAGGTACATTTTTTATAGAAAGTTCCATAATCAAAGTATCAGTTTATTTTTACATGGAGAAGTAATGTAAACCATAAGCTACAAAAAGTGTAGATATAGTATGCCTGGCATATAGATCTATAAAAGTCAGAAATTTCAAAATTATACCTGATGCATGTGCTTCAGGTTGTAAAATAATAATGACAAAATAAAATTCCTGAATTTGGAAATTCAAGAGAACTGAACCTTCTGTTAACATTTCACAACTCTACTACTGCATAAAGGCAGGGGAACAGGTAACTATTTCGACTTTCAAAAGCATGAAAACAAATTAATTCATCCTTCCAAATTATCAGCAGGTATGAGAAAAGCTCTCTATGTACATAGGCTATGTCCCCAGCACCAGCCCTCTAGAATACTTTCCAAGTACAGCCAGGCTTTAAAGATACTGAACCAGCAGAGAAAAACAAGGTGAGCCAAAATGTCCATCTTGCATTCACTTTCCTTCCAGATTCCTGTGTTGTGCAGTATTGGTATTATTAGACTGAAGTAAGAGATATATTTTTTTCCCTGGGTTGACAGATGACTATGCGATTTTACCTGAAAGTGCTCAGAGGATGGGTCATTGATGTAAGAACACAACGTCCAATCTCAAATGGACAATGGGGCACAAAGCTGTGGGTGTACAGACGCGTGTGCATGCGTACCACGACTTTACTCAAATAATTGCAAGAACATGTATATGCTTTCTACTGGTTACATAATACTCTACTATTTATACTAAACCAGATGAACTTGTATGTCTGACAGATTACATGTAGCATAAATACACACAGAAGTAGTCATGGAAAAATAACGATATGCAAATACACAGACAAATACTGTGTAAGTGTAATGAAATATAAGATTTATTTAATTACCCAATGCGTTAGGACACCCTTTTGAGATAACTATGTTGGATAATTAGCAGTTAAATTCTGGAATGTGTACAATAGTGATCCAATTGAAAGCAATAATAATGGTTCCCTTAGAAAAAACCCTGTGTTTAGTACTTCATTGATTTTTCATATGACTACACATGTCAGTACGACCTTCAGAGTTCAAGCCACTAGGAAAAAATGGCTATGCTGAAGTGTCACCACAGCTTTTGACAATTCATCATTTGGTCAGCATTCTTGAAAGATTTGTAAACGTTTATCTAACCATTGGTCACATTACAAATTGTTTATAAGCATTTTCACGAAATGTCTTGTGAATAAGTATAGCATTGACTGATGTTATTCAATCTTTCAAATTTTGCTGTGAGGCAACCTAAAAGGAAAGGAAAAAGTAAAGTTCTTACCAGAATAATAAAGGTAACAGGTCCAATGAAACTCCAGATAAAATAGTTATCTACATGGAGCCAGCAACTATCATGGAAAAAAGAGAATGAAAAGTGAATTAATTGCATTAGCACCTCAGTCCAGTAAATGGGAAGTGCAAAAATAGTTCTTAAGCTAACAGTTTGCCAGTAAACAATGACAAACACTGCACAGTTCCACTTTGTCCATGGACAATTTTTCCTAACCTGAAACTCTTCTCATGAGTCCTGTTTAGTAACTTGACAATACATCATCAGGAATAGCTAACATACAAGAAGAAACAAAACCAAAACAAGCTCTCTCTCCTTTCAGTCAAAAGGCTTGCTCACAGGTGCTATCATGGACTAATGAATCTAACATCAGTAAATATTTTTCACAGGTTTTCCATGTAATCTTTAAAATCTGCCTTTAACTTTATATCATATGTAAAGCGTGTACTCCTGAGGAATAAGAGACAGAAAATGTTCAGATGCCATGTTTTGCTGAACGACAATATGGTATAAATAATATGCCCCTACTGGGAGTTAACAGTAGAGAAAGAATACATATGACACTGGACTAAATGACGTGTAAACCTATTAGGGCCAACTTCACTTAGCGATTCTTTTTTCACACAGCCCAGTTCCCTGCTGAATTGCTCTTATTTGTCTTTCATCAGTAGCAAAATCAAGCAGCTTTCTTGTAATCAACAGTATCTTCCCATTCTGTAACTAATTTCATCAAAGAACAAAGTAAACACTATTGGAAGGCAAATTCATGCCTCCAGCAACCCAAATCCTCAGAAATGTTTTCTGTCTACCTTCTGTCACTTTCTATATATATCTATATTTTTGTAAATAAAAGGCAGTGGCTGATTTTAATCCTGCTCTACTTATCTGATAAAATATGAAACATATGGGTGGGAATACTGTACTGTCATAATTCAGGATGAGAGTTAGCTAGAGGGGCAGCTGAACAAAGAGATCTAATGAAGCATTAGCTTAAAACAGGGTGGTTAGGCCTGTCAAGATACTTTAAGTTGAGAATTTTTACTTAATATACATTTGAGGCCAAAAAGTTATTTACTTTTTCAATTTGTTTCAGGTCAATCTTTTGTGTTAAAAGAAAGACCATAATTTAGAATCGGTCTCTCTAGAGTACAAATCCTCTGAACCTAGAGAATTACAAAAGACTTGATTGCAATTTGCGCACAGCATTGCTATTCTCTTACCAATAATGCTTTCAGATGGTATTTTAGTCTGTCAGGGACCCTCTGACAGCTAATAGGCTTTAAAAAATTATTCACTTGAAAAACACTCAGGTCACTTGCAATTACTTACGCTTTCTCTGTTCCATAGCTCTTATAGTCAATAGCTGCTGAGACACCAACTACCGTAGCAGGGAAGAGGTAGCCAGCAACATAGTAGTACTTCTTCCTAGAATATTCACTTTCGAATACTTCTACTAACATTAGATAAAGCTGCACTCCTTCTAGACACATCCAGGCAAAGGCTGCCAGGAAGAAAAAGTGTAACAGACCTGCAAATATTGGACATGCAATCTGCAAAGAAAAAGAAAGAGGGAAATATAAACCACAAAATCTTCACATCATTACATCTCCAATTACATGGTGTGTAATAGAACAGCATATACTTCTATCAGACATCTTTTACAAATTCAGAAGCATTTTCCCTACCTGAAAACATACACTGAACATTTGAAAATACTAATGTGTGCTCAGTAGCTACAGAAAGTAAATTAGCTAAACAGTGTGAATGAAGATAAGGAAATCACGCCCTCACCCCACAGTCTTCAATTATAGAATGGACTTTTCAATTTTATAAGCTACCCTTTGATTTTGAAACTGATACGGTTTTAGGAACTTACAGTTCAGATAATGTGAGACACGAACAGTTGGTTCTAGATGCATAATGCAATACTACCTATTTAAAATTATGAAGCGGCCATCAAGCCATTTTTATCTGCTGTAATTTGGAAGTTTCTACTGTCGTAACAGAAATCAATCTGAACTCTCTCCCCTTTGGCTGAATTCCGGATGAAACTATACCGAATTATTAGATTTCAACCCAATGATTCACCTCAGAATTAATTTCACCAAAACTGCCAAAAAGCCTGCATGAATGTGCAGTGTAAGAAATATGCAAATATATAGCTACGGCTCTGTACTAACATATCTGTCTCTACAAAAAAGTAGTCAATAGCTATTGAGACATACGAATATATATAGAAAACATATATATGCTCCTAGTATATCAACATTTAATTTCATCTCCTCTTTCAAAAGTTTAACCACCTGCTTTGTTAATAGCCAATGTTTCTCAACTGAAAACAAAAAATGTTGCAGCAAGTGGGAAATTAAGGCCACAGTGATACTTTTGGTGGATGTAAATACTATTTATGAACATGTCTATCTTATTTTCACACTGAGCTTTTATTTCAGCCTTGCTGCGTCACAATGATGAAAGCTTGGCAGTGTTGTCATGTTTTAACTCAAATCCATTTCAAACAGTCATTTCAGAGAACAAGATCAGTACACACAGAGAAAACTTACCTTGTACTCTGTCTTATCGATGCCTATTAGGAAAATGAACTCAGCAATAAACAGGTTGATACAAAGGTTCTTGTGAATAGTGTTACGATCACTTTGCAGGCCACGGAAAAAACAGAATGTGAAGATGCAGATGGCCAGGCAAACAAGAGAGATGACAATTCCCACCCAGGTGATGACAGTGAGGAGCAATTCGTGCACTCCATCTTTGTACTAGAAATAATCAAAAATGGAGAAAATTAATATGACTTTTTATGAGTATAAACAAAAACCTGTTTTCACAGGTAGCATCCAGAAAAGTTACTTGCTCATTACATGAGATGGGCAAAATGTACTCAGTAATTTCTAAGTCTCAGGTCAGCTTCCCAGAAGAGCAAGATTACAGTAGGCAGAAGAGGAGAAGGTCTGAGAGAAAAATGTGACTATTTTAGCTGGATCAGATAGCATTTGGCTCACTGTAAACTTGTCAGACAAGAACAAGTGCAGAAATGTAACATTTTGGAAGTGCTACTAGGCTCTGATGAAAAGAAAGAGCGTAGCTTTCCCTGGGACCTCCTATAAGAGTATGTGTTCTTTCCTATAGACCTGCAACCCCACAGCGGAGAAGAAAGCAACAATTTGCACACCAGTTAGGACGAAATGCAGAATATGTTATGCATGTAATTCCAGCTCTAATCTCACGTTTAGCTAAAGAAGGTTCCTTGCTTCAGTTGTGATAGAATCATTTTGTCATCTCGATTACCTTTTCAGTGACCTTTTCGAATAAAACGGCTTTATGAGAAGTCTCATATCCTTGCAAATACGGCATGCTCTGGGCCCCCTGATGTCCAGTAAGTGCTTTAACTAGACAACAGCATTTCACAGTATAAAGAAGCATTTGAACAACCAGTATGTAAGCTCCTTGACCTTCCAGCCCTAAGGAGAGCTGGCACTTGTGCGTCCAGGGAATAGCCTACGTAATTGCCCCTACAGATACTCTCCAGCTTTACTGAGAGGAAGTCTGTAAAATGGTTGTACGGTTGGTCAGTAACTTTAAAATATGACTTGAAGAAAACTCTTGTCCTTCCTTGTTTTACTTTCCTTTTACTTTCCTTGTTTTTCTTTCCTTTTATTTTCCTTGTAATTTCATGGGTGAGGAAGAAAAGTGCTTCAGAGAGCAAACTGCTTTGGAA